AAAAATACCCAGAGTATCACAATTAAATGTGAACTCCATGTGACTCTGACTTCCCTTGTTTAGGGCACTCTAAAGAGAAAACAGATAAATAGCAATTATCATCTTCTGTCAGTTTTCCAATTCTTGTTGCTGTCAGTATGCATTGGGAGATCAATGATTTCGTGCAGCAAACTTCCCAAACCACCTAAGAGGGCAGGAAAGACCTTGTTGGCCTGAGCCTCAGAATGATCTGTGGGAGGAGGCACTTGCTTTGATATGAACAGACTATTAGACTGTAGAATAAGAGTCAAGGTACTTGCCAATTTTTTCATACTACAGTCTAATAAGTGATGGGCTACTAAACATAACCAACTATATATTTTCTTAATGTTTACATTCCCCCATTATCCACAGTTAATATATTTTAATAAGATACTATATTCCAAATATGTATCTTACATCTCTTCAGAAAAGACAAAAATTAATGGAATTAAAAGGACTGTGGAAATAATAAAAAATTCAATGGAAAGAAAACTGATGTGTCTTTATTAGCTTTCCTTCAATGGGAGTTGGTTGAACAAAGGAAACACTATTTCCTCAAAGGGAAGCAGAGATTTGAAGTGTAATTAGGCAGATGATTAGGGGGTCCCTCCCCTCTGCTCCCCAACAAAAAAAGAAAATTCCCTTTTGCTGGGATTAAGCATAGATTTGATCCAATCTTTTCCTTGAACTTGGACTGGGAAATGTGGCCAAACACAGCAGATGAGCATCACCGCATCTCCCAGGCAAGGGTGGGCACTTAGGGCAATAAAATGCTTCCTTTTGAGTTTCTGATCTCAGTAACCACAGTAAGGAGAAGTAAGCATTCCCTAGCTCCCAAAAGTTGAACTTGCTCCTCCCAAATTGCTTGCTTTTCCATGATAACCAATTTTTAAAGAAGCTCCTAATCACAACCGATTTTGTGATTATAACACATTTTTCGTCTTATGAAAATGACCAGTAAAACACAGAATAGTGTGATAATCAGTATTTAGAACTGAGTGGAAATATAAACCAGCCTACCTTAAAAATCATAATATGGATTTTTTTTAATATTCTTAAGCTTTTGAAAATAAATGCTTAATTTTTACTAGCGCAATCACTGATTTGAAGACCTGAACAGAGCAACCCACAATGCAATGGAATGCTGGGTAAAAAGCACTATATTTGGGGGAAAAAAAAGGGGGGAATCCCTTCCTTCCTTCCTCCCTTCCTCTCCCTCTTTTCACCTTGTTTGCTTATTTTCTTCCAACATGTTGTTCCCAATACCAGGACTGGCTACTTAGAATGTTTGGCTTGAGAATCGTTTTGAGAAAATAAAAACTTAGGTCTCTTTTATGCACACTTAAAAATACTTCTATATAGCACTCGCACACATAAACATTTGCAGAAAAAAATCCAAATGCATCAGTTAGAGGGTAAGAAGTAGCGAATATTCTCAGTGGCTAATGGCATCACGCCAAGCTCAGATCCCATGTTTTTGATGAAACCGGCTAAGATAAATCCCTACAGTGTCTTCATTGCTGCAGAAAAATTAAAGGAATTAAGCTAAAGTCTATTGGGACCGATGATTTATCAAATAAAAGGGAAAACAAAAGGAAGCAAAGTGATTTTGTCTCTTCTGACAAACACACCCTCGTGTGTATCTATCTACTACTAATATTTATTAGCAGGAAATCCCTAGTTCCAAAGCAGCTCGTGTAAACAGGCTGTATTTATATGTTCAGTGCTGTGGGCTCTGCCCTGGTCCCACGGATTGGATGCAGCTTCCCTAGGAGGTTGTACGCTCCCCGCTTCTACAACTTCCCAAAGGCCCCCAAGTCAAGTTCATGCCTGGAAATCTAGCCCTGCCCAAGTCCTCAGCACAACGCTCTCTTAAATGAGGACCGTTTTGGAAAGGCTTAAATCTCACAGTTTGCACCCCTGAAAGGATTTCTCTTCGGAAAGAGGCAAACTTGTTCTGAACGGCGGAGTACTCCAAGCCGCCATCCTTCAAGGGTCCCAGCCATTCGGGCTCAACGCCAGTCTGCGGGCAGCCCGTCTCTCGGCAACACCTGCGGAGCCGGGACACCAAGAAGCGCAGACGGACGCTTTCTAAAGCGTCTCCCCTGGGGGCGAAGGCTGAGCCCCCGACCGCGAGGGAGAGGCTGCCGCGCCACCTGCGCTCTCAGCCTGCGGGGAGGGTGGGGCCGGCAGGGGCCGGGGGGCACCGCCCGACCCCGCGGAGCCGCCGGGGACCCCCCGCCGCACAGCAGTGCCCGAGGGGGCGGTGGGGGGGGCCCGGCAGGCAGGCTCTTCCTACCTCTCGGGACTGGCGGGCGCAGGGGCCGGAGCCGGGGCGGGCGAGGCGGCGAAGCGTAGAGGCAGGCGGGCGGGAGGCCTCAGGGGCCGCGAGCTGACGCGCCGAGCATCCCGCGTCCCGGGACTGCTCGCCCAGGCCGGCAGCGCTCGCCTCGCGGCCCCGCCCGGCCCCGCCCCCGACGGCGCGGGGAAGGCGGCCCCGGAGGGCGGGGCCCAGCCCGCGGGCGAAGTCAGCCCCGCCCGCTCTGGGCAACGCATCCTCCCCCGCGCGCGCGGCCGGCGGGGCCCGGACGCACACCCCCCCCACGGCCCGCGGGCCGGCCCGGGGCCCAGGGCGAGCCGCAGTCTCCCCACGTTCCGATCCGATCAGTTCTCACCCGGAGTCATTTCTTTTGGGGGACCACAAATGTAAGTCATCCGAGTGGCCTAACTGGTGGGCTGTAAACCTGGGTTTCCCAAATGTCCTTGAAGATTCTCAAAAGAGAACAGTTCAGGTAAAGTGCGTCTTCGTTTCGGTTGTTCTTTCTCCGCAGCCAGAGCTGGTTAAATTAAAAAATGACACCTAAAAAACTCTTTAATTCGCAAGTGTTGAAGTTGTCTTTTTAAAAGAATGCTGGAAGGATAGCGTTCCACCTTCACAGCTGTGCTTGTTTTTCAGTACACTGCCTTGTGAATACAGTTTACCATTTGCTTTTCTTTTACACAAAATATACCGTGTAACAGACGACACCAGTGTGTGGTAATAGAAATCAGAACAGTGGTGGCCTCTAGGGAGCAGGTGACTGGAAAGAGGCCCCAGGGAACTTTGGGGGATGGCAGATATGTTCTATTGGCTGGGGTGCCCAGTTACGTGGATTTCTTAAGCCTTTGTTAAAACGCCTCCAACTTAAGATCTGTGCATTTCACTGTAAATTTTACCTCAGTTTTTAAAACTTAAAAATACAGTATTTGCAGGTTTTTTAATCTATCACTTAATCTTTTAAAAGGTAGCACAATTACTCGACAATCAGTTATCAGAGGTTGTCAGAGGTACCAAATTTGCTAAGTACTTATCTTGTCCAATAATTAATACTAGCAGTACTAATTAAATCCATCCAAGGCTTTAATGACAGAATTATCTACTCCAACGTCCATTCATCAGCCCAAGTTGAGATTTCTTTTCAAATATATGCCACAGTCCTTGGCAGTTTTGAAAGCAAAAGCTCAATGTAAAGAGTGGGGCTTTGGGGTTAGAGAAAGCTAAGATTAATTCTAGCCCCACTTCAGTAACCTTGGCAAATAATCGCTTCTTTCCTCCACTATAAAAGGCATATAATAGTTGAACCAAAGTTTTGTGGTGATCAAGTGAAACAGAGAAAGCAACTTGCTCTGCATTAACCTTTCAGACATGCTCTCCCTGGAAATCCACCTTTGGGACTTGGATCTAAATCCAGGTACAAGTGGCTGGATCAATGTGCTTGGACATTTTTGCCTTAATTAGAATTCTTGCCAAACTGTATTTCTGTCTTTATTGCACATTTAAGACATACCTTTTCTAAAAGAAGGCAGCGTAAACATGAAGGGAAAAAAAGCTTCCATGGTCTTGGGATTAACTAAAACAAGCTGCTGTCAAGGTAGCTTTAATTCCTTCTGGGTCAGTGACTGGTCTAGTAATCTTGTGCAAATTATAAACATATTCACTATCTTAATAGTATCCTCTATAATACAGGGAGAGATCCTTTATTTCCTTAGATCATGCTCTGAGAGAAAAGCTTTAACTGACTCATGATTACCAGGACTCAAGGAAGAACACGAATGACCCAATTTCCACACTGTAATAACAAGATCTTACATGTGTGTTAACCTGACTTTTCTGGAGTGCTTCCCACGTCATGGATATGCCCCATGTCATGGAATTTGAATAAGACAGAGTATCTCAGACAGGCTGAGCCCTGACAAGTCTGGTTGAGAAGCCTCTTGAGCGGATGGTAAAGGACACAGATTTAGGTTTGTGAGTCAATTCATGACACATTATAATTCAAAAATTGCTCAAGTATTCAGTTAATACTTAACTAGGAATCTACCATGTACAATCATTGACCTAGGCCAGAAGAGATTTAAAAGCTTCACAGTTATATAACAGTCCTTGAACTTAAGAAACCCAATTCCTCGTTTCTTATGGTATCAAGACAAAATATAGTCATGCAGATGGGACATAACTATTACGGAGTTGTGTACTGGAAACAGATTTTTCTAAAGTGGGTGGGAATGAGCAAAGTACAATTCTGATTATTGGGCTGGAGGTGGTTAGTGAATGGGGAAAAGTAAAGAAAGGCAAGTCTGCAGAGTCCAAGGAAATATGCCCCAGGAATAGGAAGGGGCATGCCTCATGTTATTCCCCTAACCCAATGCCTTCCATCTGCTGACAATCTGTTGGTCCTTGTGAGCCTCGTTTATGAGGCTCTTCTTCTCCCACATGGCCTTTCCAGATCCCTTCATCGGAACCAAAGGATCCTCCTCCTGCCTTGCCCAGCACAGTACCTGTGCTGCTTCCGTGACAAGCACCTCATTCCATCTTCAGGGAACACTGTTCACATGTCTATTTGCCCAAGTAGGCCACCCTCTTAAAGGCAGGGGATGTATCTTATTCATTTTGCCATCACCACCACCGGTGGCCCACATAGTTCCTCACGCAGTCAATATGTATTAAAAAAAATTTTTTTTATTGAATTGAATGGGAGATAAAGTAGGATAAATGGAGCCAGGTTATAAATAGGTATATACATCAGAGTTCATTCATTCAGTTAATATTTATTGAATGTTTACTGTGTGCCAGGCCCTGTTCTAGGTTCTGAGGATATATCCACGAACAAACCAGATAAAAATTTATCCCCTTGTGGAGTTTACATGAGATCTATCATAAGGGGTGGGATTAGCAATAAATTTACATAAATTCAAGCATACCTAGTGGCCAGAAAACAAAAACAAAGGACACACATTTAAATAGTTTAATTATTGGTGTTATAAAAGTCTACTGACGCTATGTAGTTTTTACTGTATATTGTATATAGTAAACTTACTATATTCATAATATATTCATATCCGTGTATCACTCTACAGGGATTCTAATTTTAAGACTATACAGAGAACTTCATTGGCAATTTAAGAAATTTTCAGGGATCATTTCGAGCATGCTTGATTTCATTCCGAGGCACAGTCTAAAAATCTAACCAGCTTATGAGTTGAGACTCTACCATACCAAAATGAAAACGCTGAGATTGCTGGGCAGAGCATGAGAATGAGGACATGACAAATCCATGTCTGCTCAGGCTAGTCTGGCTAAAGGGAACAAGAGATAGTACATTCATGTGAATACACAAGGTCAGTCAACAATGGAATTCACATCAAGAATTAAAACAAAAAAAACCCCCAAACAGTTCATGAGCCATTTCCCATTGTTTTCTTTTAAAAAAAACTAAAACAGTAAGATCTTGAGGTCATAAATAAGGAAAAAATTCTTAACATACTGGCTTATTCTCATTAAAGGTTTATCACTTTCATATATTTTTCAAAGAGTATTTTAAAAAGAACACCAAGTTAAGAAAATCATTTAAAAGTCTTCCAGTAATTTTACTCTATATACATTAATTCCAATCATTTAACCCTGAAAACAATCTTTACTTGTACAATGTAAAAAAATTTTTGACAATGACTAGAAAAATTCCATTACTGTAAAGCTACAAACAAATTTTTGCTCCTAAGAGCAAAGTTAATAAAGCAAAAATAATTATACCAGTGATAAGCACCAAGATGAATTTTTTTTGCATTTAGGGCCTGATTGGTTGTATTTAAACATAACCTCTGTAACACCTTATTTGGCAAAAAAAAGGGGGGGATAAAAAATATACAGAGGTCTGGAAACGGTGAAGAATGCCCACTTTAAAAGTAAAACAGTAAAATCATACTTTTTTTTAAATTAATGTAACATTTGCAAAATATATTCATATGTCACTTTTCTTCCTCTTTAGTTCACTTTACACAATTTAGATTGCTCCATTTTTTTTAATGTTTTGTCACACTAATGTAAATAAATATGCTGAACTGTGGGAGTTGGCTGTAATGAATCCAAATCGTAAGAGCTAGACCCAGTAGCTCAAACAATCTTAGTTGCAACTCATTCCGACTGCTGAAACAGATTATTATTTACCTTTGTAATTTTTTAAAAGCCTTAGCCGGATGAGATACCGTATGTGTAAGTGTGTGTGCGTGTGCATATGAACGTGCGTGTACATGTTTGCCAGAGCAGTGTGAGCACAACCCAGAAACAGGAGTGCTATACAAACAAGTTTGCACAATGGCCCGCGAGACACGGGCAGCCAGACACTGAATTCCCCCCAAACAAACCTGCGGCTGAGCAATGAGGAAAGGTTTGGAAAACGTGGAATCACGTTTCCACACTGTGGAATCAGGGACAGGTTTGGAAAACGAAGACAGGCAGGAGGCCTCAGCCAAGACGTTCCCATGACGCTGGAGGATGCAGGGACTATGCAACTGCCCCACAGGGCATCTGTCGTGGCCTCCGGCGGTGGCCTCCACCACACCTAGTGACAACCAACGTCTTTGGGATCCCAGTGCGTGAGCCGGGGTATCCCCTCCTGCTGGTCACAACAGTTAGCTCAATACAGACACTATCCCTTCTGGAGGCTTAGCTGACAACCATCACTGCTTTCCATTTTCAACACAGTCTTAGAAGGGGAGTCTCCTTCTGTCCCTGGGGGGGGGGGGGTCCCTGAGTTTGAGGTAATACCAACACACTGTAGCTGGAGAGCAGTAACATACGAAGTCCGGCAGTCCACTTTAGAGCTCAAGCAACCTACATTCAATATTAGCCAGTTTTTGTCATCTCAGTAATACTCTTCAGTGAGATAGTTTCTCTACACCACGCCTAACGTATGGGGTAAGGAAAAGAAAAATATTGCTGGAAGATGAAACATTTTTTAAAGTTCCTTGATGAAACTCCTTAAGGGAAGGAAAAGGAAACCGATTACTTGTCTACCTTCTTTGTTCCTGTCCCTGGCTTTCGAGGTCAAAGAGCACCAAGGTTTCTGTTAAGTTACTTAAAGGTTCTCCCGGCCCCTCCACCCACCCACACAATCCTAGGGAATTCCTCAGCCGTCTACTTTCCAAATTTGTAATCATATCTCTGGGCGTGTCTATACAGCTCGTTAATTCAGTTTCAAAATCCACAGCATTTTTTAAACAAAATGAGATAGTTGCATTCTTTAAATGCCAGCTGTGAAATCATCACTTGAAAAAAAGAATGAGTCAGATTATATATACATAAGTCAAATACAGTTTTCTCCTTTTTTAAGGTATCTGTTGAAGACATGCTTATGACTGCTTCTCAAGAAAAGCCCTTAGGAAAGGAGCCTCATACGGTGTTCTGCAGTCTGATGTTCTGTCCCAATGCTGTCCGTTCTTAAGTTACATTGTAGGTATGACTGGCTTCATGAACTACCACCCTGCCCCCAAAAATGGGCATATTAGATGCAGAGAAAAACTTTGTTTATAATTCAGTGAATTTTAGTCACACCCGAAAAATGATCTAACCCGTCCAAACATGCAACTTCTTTCTTCCCCATTAACTAAACTCCCGTCTTTTAAAAAAAAACCATCAGGTTTGAGGATCAAGTTAAAATCCACCATATTTCATGTTAAACTCTGAGGGTAGCATGATTTCAAATTCATAGTGGCATTCAGTTTTCTGTATTTTCCTATATTTATCCCAAGTAAACTTCCTGGACCATATATTTAGGGAGCAATTAAAAGGGTTTTATATTATAGTATAAAGTTCCAGAAATTCTCAGTTTATCAGGGTTTACTCTGAGCTCAATGTCCTACAACATCAACATGATACAAGTACATGAACAAGAAGTATTTGAAATACAAAACCCTTAGCTCTGTGTCATAAATAAATTTGGGTAAAACCGCAAGCCTTCCACTGAATCATCACGGCAAAGATGACCCATCTTCTCTGCCAGAAGCAACCTAGGAATCAAGGGAAAACACCACGATCATTTGTCCATTCGGAAGCACAAATACAGTTGTAATGAAGAGCAAGGACCTCACTTACCTTTCCTTAGCCAGGAGGACAGACATTCCTACCAGCTTAGCAAACTCTTCTGATGTCAGGGATCCCTTTTCTGAAACCTAACAGAAACACAGCAGGGAAAAAATGTGGTAATTTAGGCCACCTAGGTACTAACCTAGGGAGGGCGTCTACCAGGGTACTCAGGAAGTAATTTACTGAATTTCTCACTAAAATCCCAAAGAATATTTACTATAGAACTAAATCTTCTTCACTAATGCATAATTCTACAAATGCTGAAGGATCGAGAAAAACGTAGTAGAGCCTAAAATATCGTGAAGCCGTCTAGAATGTAACAAAGGCACTATACTGAACCCTAAGAAGAACTCTTTGAGATTCTGAAAAGGAACATGTAACAAATTCTAACTGAATGCATACTTCATGCTCCAGTAAAGGAACCTTATATTAGGTTTAGCTTAAAATATACGGTAGAAATATCGATAGTCTTGAGGTTTTCATCTAGTTTAAAATAAGTGTAATAAATATGAGTTATTCAAATTAAACAGGTTCACCACAGAGGCTATGAAGGCAGTAATATTTCAAGTCTCCTAATGAGTAATAGCAGTAGTTTGGCCAGTAAAATCCATCTAAACTACAGTTGCTTTTCATATTTCTTGAAGCAATTATTTGGTAAAACAACTTGTGATGTTTCATAATACTGCTTATGTAGGTGTTACTCAAAGAAAAAGTTCCATCACAGGTAACATTACAATTAGCAAAGTTAAAAACCTGTCCGCAAGACTGAGCTTCGGACAAAAAGACGGCACCTCACGAATTCCAATTCTACTTCGTAAGTTTCAAAAGTTTGAAAAGTGTAATTTTGATTAGTATTTATTCGTTGTTAATAATAGGTATTTTTAATTGGGTCTACAAACATTACTTTTTAGTAAAGTTAAATTCAAAAGGAAATCCTGTTTCTCAAGTTGCTAAGCATTCAGGTCTCGGTGGGCAGACTGATGAGGAGGAAACGGGGTTCACATACTGTCTCCAAGGCTGAGGCCACCATTTCCTCTTCCTTGTGGCTCTGAAGCTCAATTACCATGACACCACTGTCAAAAACTCGGAGCCTAAAAATGACAGATGGGAGAACAAAGCTGTGAATATCTAGGATCTTCAACCACTAAGGAGGTGCAAAGATCCTGTGCTTTCTTTTATGTCCGGATATCAGGGCAATATTTAACACATAACAACCATAAGCAACTACAGCATAACTAAAAAGCTGGTGAATAAATATTTAATCAAAGTATGAACTATAATCCACATGCTAAAGAAAATATGTCTGGCACTTTTTTTAACCTGAGGAGAGGAAAATATAATTCACAGCTGAACATCTGTACTTTTAACTCTCCAGAAACTAACAAGATGTCTAGCAGAGGGACTGCTTATTCTGACCTCCTAGGAAGAGCTGACATTCTTCTGTCACTGCCCCCAAATCAACAAGACTTGCACTACCAGCCCTGATAAGGAGGGAAGCCAGGATGACAAGTGAATTCTGTTCGTTTAGTTCCAAGAGGGGCAATAGGTTGGCTCACCACACAGACAGCAGGCCCGGCAGGCCCTCCCTGTCTACTCTGTATGGAACAGTGGCTCTAGTTGGCAAGCTTCCTGCAGAGGTTCTTTTACCTGAGAGGTAATTTTAGTGCTTCCAGCATCTTGCACGCATTCACTAAATCTTCTGGTGAGAGCAACTAATAGGAAAAAAAATCCAGTTTACACTGCAAATTAACAGAGTGATGCTATATAATTATAAAGATCCCTAGAACAGAAGAGGAAATTTAACAATTATCATTATTCTGTGACTTGATCTCAGGGTCATGAGTTCAAGCTCCATGTTGGGCATGGAGTCTATTTCAAAAAATTTTTTGAAATAAAAATGTAAAAATTATCATTTGTCAGGGATTTTAGGTGGCCTCATCACTATAAGGCAAAAAGAAATAACAAAGAAACAAAGCAGTGCTATCCAACAGAAGACAATGCAAGCCATATATGTAATTTTAAATTTCCAGTAGTCATATTAATAAAATACAAAGGAACAGGTGAAATTAATTTTAATACATGTATTTTATTTAACCCAATAGATCTAAAACATCAACATATAATCAATATAAAAATTATTAACGAGATATTTAATTTTCATATTCTGTACGAAGTCTTTTTTTTTTTTTAAAGATTTTATCCATTTGTTTGAGAGAGAGAGAGCATGAGAGGGGGGAGGGCCAGAGGGAAGAAGCAGACTCCCCACTGAGCAGGGAGCTCGATGTGGGACTCGATCCCGGGATTCCAGGATCATGACCTGAGCCAAAGGGAGATGCTTAACCTACTGAGCCACCCAGGCGCCCCTGTATGAAGTCTTCTAAATCTGGTGTGTAATTTACACTTCTAGCATACCTCAGTTTGGATTAACTGTACTGCAAGGTCACAGTTGTCACATGTAGCTAGCTAGTGGCCACCCTTCCAGACCACACAACCTTAAAGAATCAGCCTGTGTGGTGGTTGACAAGTACAACTCTGAGTCACACATAATGGCTCCGGAGCCAGCCCAGCCCGGGCGCAAACGCCTGTCAAACCACTGTTTCCAGGCACAGCCTTGGTCAGATAACAATCTTTGTGAGCCTCAGCTTCCTCATCCTCACATCATGCCCTAGGTGGGGAGAGGGAAAGTAGCTACCTCGCTGAGGTACTGCGAGGAGAAATGGGGTAATGTGTGCAGAGCGCAACAGTAAGGACTCACTGACGGCAGTCACGATGACAGTTCAAATAAAAACAGAGCAGAGGCTCAACTCGTGGCTCTGCGGGGAGCGCTGGAAAGACAGGTATATCAACTGTTCGCATGGAGGTGACTACTGACGCCACAAAACTGACTAAAGGGCTCGAAGAGTGCACGGGCAGAACTTGGGGGGCCAAGGACATGTGGGTGTGAAGGGACAACGAGGGTCAAAAAACAGCCACTGCTGATTCAGAGCCAGAGGAAGAGGGCAGCTTTCCCCCTGTTTCTCTACAGACCATTTGTATCCAACCCAGTGAATCCAAAACAGTTGACAATCACAGAGAAAAGGATCATACACAGGCTTATGAATCACAGTACAGACACAGAATATTAAAGACAGAAGGTATTGGTCAATCCAAATCCTTGTTTTAAAGGTAGGAAAACCGAGTCTCAGTGAGGTTAAGTAAGCTACTCAACATCACTCAGCACATCACTGGCAAAACAAGGGACAGAGTCTACCTCCTAGATCCCAAGGCAGTATTCTTTTACTACACCACACTGCTTCTCAAATAGTTTTGATATTCTCAACCCTTCCTCAAATTGTACTCACTTTGGGGAACGTGTGTTATATTAAGAAAGTCTATATTTAGTTAAAAGAATATCTAAATGTTCTATTCTTACTTCCATTCCTCGAGCTCGGTTTACTAAACAGTACACCTCCGTGAGTGACATTATTCCCCCTCGTTCCTGTTAAAATATGGAATTTAAAAAGTATTATTAGCACCAGTTGGCATTTCTTAACAGAAATCATAATCAGAGTGAAATCCGGAACCATAAAACTTCCTAAGAAGCCTTTAAAAACTAAATTTATATAGAGGAAAACCTAGTCAGATACATGAAGCATTTCAAATTCAGTATTTGGACTTAAACATCACTATTTCTGTTTTAACATTTACTTAAATGAGATGAGGGCCTCCACACCATGTTTCAAAAAGTGTATTTAAAGCGTTTTAAGTTATTACAACTAATAAATGAATAAATTATGGAATTAAATAGGAATATCACCATTGTAACCCCAAATGAATAACAGATCTAGATGCTGACTGTTGGTAGCTGCTGCTACATCACCAAAAAGACAAACAGACATTATGTACCTCCTGATGGAAATGCACAGCACCCTCTATGAAACATGCATCAGAAAAAAAGAAAAAAGAACTCCTAGATATAACTTCCAGTCTACAAGGAATACATGGGGCAGAGAAGTATGTTAAAACACAAATCAATAAAATCCAGACTCTGAGACACTCTATAATAAACCACTAGTTTCTTCAATAAATAAGTTGTATGGAAGAGAAAAAAGAGATAGGAGAAGGGGAAACCTATGGAATTAAAAAAAAAAAAAAAAACTTTGAGACAAATCAACCAATTGCAAGGTATCCTGATTTGAACAAACTAACTGTAAGAGAAAATGTGACTACTAACGAGATATTTGATGATACTAAAAAACTATTTTTAACTTTTCCTGTGTGAAATGGAACTATAATTACATTTAAAGGCATCTTTTTCATTGTAATTACATACTGAAAAATTTACAAAGTGATGTGATGTCTGGGATTGCCTTAAAGTAATTTTGAGTGAAGGCTGCTTACACACGAACCTGGATGATAGGCATGGAGGGATTCATTGTACTATTCTATTTTGTCATGACGGAAATACTTCTTAATATAAGTTTTTTTAATAAATGAAGTTTTGATTGCCTGAGTAATGTCAGAAGATAAATCTGTATTATGAAATGATTAACAGTACACTTATATTAAGATTCGATATATAGAAATATATATCAACATCTAGAGATCATATATTTCCTTTTGAAAACAAGAGGTAAGAAAAACTTCCTATCAAATAGATTTAAGGAGTTACAGATATGTGAAATGGAAACTGAAAATAATCTAGATTTTGACAACAAATCCACTAATAAGGATACCAAAATGATTTAATATTCCTGAAAGAAAAAAATAACATGTTGGTTGAACAATAGCCACACTGTGAAAGGAGTTAGACTCGTGTTAAGATTTCTGAAGACTTGGCGATTATTTAACACGACCGAGAGACCACTGAGGTTTTGCTTTTACCTCTAGTGGCGTCTGCAGTATTGCAGCCAGCTGTCTGGCCAGCTGCACGTGGTAGTGTGTGCCAGAGCCACAGGTTTCCCTGGTAACTGGGTTCGCGATGCCCATGCTCAGCAAATAGGACTTAAACCTGATGGTCTATAATCAGAGAAGAAAATGCACAAAAGGACAAATAAGCAGCATTAGTCTCTCCACCCCAACATTGGAAATCTTTCTATCATAAATTCAATTCTACTCAATTATTTCTATATCTACCCATTTCTTCTACCTTGTTTCTACTGCGTAAACTCTAAGAAAGTGGATTTCTAGTAGTTCTCTGCATAAAGCTAATTAATTATTCTTCTTCCTTCTCCTGTCTTGATATTTCATACTCCACTGACCCCACAAGTTCGGTGTGAGAAGAGGTTTAGGTAACAACTGTGCTGTATTTAAGGCCAACCAAATGATAAAGCCAAAAACTGAGAAAGGAACATGGCTGTGATCAGACTGCAGACAAATTTAATGAAACAAATATCAAACATATGGATATGTATAAAACAACCACTCCTTACACATTTCAGTATCTCTCTTTTCCACACTCCAAGAGAAGGTATTCAAGTATCTTCTAATTCTACTGGTTGACTTTTTCTTTAATACTTTCATATGCCCACAAACCCTAACAGAAATCACTACATTAAGAAAGAAACTGCTAACCCACCAAAACATCACTGCATTATTTGTCTAATCTCGTTTCTAATGCCTTAAAAAGGCAACCTATTTACCTCATCTTCTGTGATGTCACCTTGCTTGTCTTTAATCTTATTAGCAATTGATTTTGATAACTCCACCATTTCCTTAGCCTGTCAAGAGAACAGTAAAAGACTGAAAAAAATCATGTCCCGAAAGTGTCTGCTAACAAAACTCCTATCATAACTGGGAGGAATTCAATAGGTGTAAATTACACATACCTTGATCATTAGCTTGCTGAGGTCTTCAAAGGCCTGAAATGAGAAATGAGTTTTTGTTGGAATCTATCTAAAGAATTAAAATGTTTTAAAGCAAAGAAGCTTAGTTTCTCTATTTTCTCCCCTTACACAAAAATTTTTGAAAATTTCTTACAAATACCAATTTATGTAAATATTTACATAAATAATAAACCTATCTTTTTTTTTTAAAGATTTTATTTATTTATTTGACAGAGAGAGACACAGCGATAGGGGGAATACAAGCAGGGGGAGTGGGAGAGGGAGAAGCAGGCTTCCCGCCGAGCAGGGAGCCCAATGCAGGGCTCGATCCCAGGACCCCGGGACCATGACCTGAGCCGAAGGCAGACACTTAACGACTGAGCCACCCAGGCGCCCCAATAATAAACCTATCTTATTCTAAGAACTCAGTTTAGCTAAGAAACCATAAATTTTCCAAAACAAACTGTGAAAAATGACTTTTCACATTTTCAAAGAGAAAACAGTTACCACTGATGTATGTTTGATTAAACAAACAAAAGGTGACATAAGTAATAAATTGTTCAGAAAATATTATTTACTGTTCTTTCACACAAGCAAGAAAATTTGTCACTGGTTTTTCCCAAAACCATTTCCTGACAGGAGGTCAAGAATCAAAGGCTGTGTAAAGCTTTCCTGGTGGAAAATGGCAATGCACAGCTGCCAGAATACTTCCTTGAGCACAACAATTTTGGCTTTAATAGCAGGTGTGATTTAACTGAAATTGAAAACCTCAGCCTTTAAATACTGAACAGATTATACTTGTAGCTTTGGATACAGTGGATATCAGAAAGGAAAAACATTCAAATACCACCAAAACATACTTAAATAAAACTCATCAATAATTTGATTTACTACAATGAATATCCACTTCAAAGTCTTCTTTAAACTTAATCAGACATATTTACAATAAATTTATTTCATACTGCCAAAACAATACTTCCAGTGAAGAACATCTTCCAAATGATGTGCACAGATGTTATTTTTTAAACCAATTAAGCAGCTTATCATTAAATGAAAAATCTTTTGGTCCATACAGAGTAGTGGTCAATAGATTCTGATTAGCTCATGCCCATCTTACTTACATGCAGAAAAGTATCCCCCATCTGCAAAAGGATTTTGCTGAAAGAATAGAGTGTTGTGTAAGATTCTTATGGCCAGACTTACGAAGGCTAATACAGAAAACAAAGGGGAATGTGCACACACCTAACAGGAATTTCCTCAGATAAACAAAAGGCTTAAACACTGGATTCTTATCAGCAACAGTCAGCAGATGCAGGAAACCTTTTGTGGGAAACTCTGGGCACCAGCTCTGAAACTAAGTCATTTCTAACATTTAAATGGAAGGCAAATCACACACCAACCTAGTTTTCAAAAATAAAACACACAAACACTTTACACACTTAGATTCTTACTTTGGATATACAAAATATTGATAGATTTCTCTTACCTGTGTAAAGAAAACTAGTAAGACAACACTTTTTAAAATTTTATGGTAAATCACTTTATTTACTGTTACATTTTCATATAAAAAATATGCTAAAAGTAATAGTGAGTCCACATTGAATACAGAATACATAAATTAGCCCTATTGCTTACAGTCCGTAAAAAATAAATACAAATATTTTAGTGTCTTAGAAGAAATACCTATATTTTAAGTAATCATAAAACACAAAAGCTTCCTCACTTCTATCTATATTATTATTCTAAAATTTGGAATTAGCCAATTATCTAAAAAACAGAGAAACTACCTATAATAAAATTAAAGCAACATATGTACAAATGCAAAAGAGATGCATTTGCCCATTCTATTATTTTACCTGCCACTTTACAGACCATCTATCCATCCCTCTACCATATCCACAGTCAAATTTCCACTCTAATTTTTTCAAAAAAAAAAAAAGGCAACGCTCTAAATAAAAGTATTCTTGTGAGTTGATTTATAGCATTATTTCTTGCTTTCAGTCATTATTTTGGTTATTAGCTTCAATAACTATTAATATATTCCTGAATTTTCTGTTTGTGTTTTTTTTTTTTTTTAAGAGAGACTGTGTGTGTACACGCGGGGGAGCGGGGGTAGAGGGAGAGGGAGAGAGAGAATCCTAAGCAGACTCCATGCTCAATCTGAGCCTGATGCAGGGCTCAATCCCAGACCCTAAGATCATGACCTAAGCCAAAATCAAGAGTCGGACACTATACTGAACCACCCAGGCACCCCCTGTTTCAGTTTTCTTGATTCTCTACCTTTACATATTCTGTTCCCTCTACCTGGGCCCTCTTACCCCTACTAGTCATCTGCCAGTGCCTGCTAAACTTCCAGGCCTTGACTTCCATTACAAGTGCTAACAAGGCCTCCCTGACCCCCAAAGAAGTTGGAGGCCATGTAATGTGTTCCTGCTGCAGCCACTGTTTTCTCTAACACGGCATTTCTCCCACTGTAGGGAACGCCTGTTTGCCTGCCTGTCTGGTGCACTGTCGTATCTAAAACACCTACCTGATGCAGGGCTTGCACAGAGTAGAGAGCAAGGACCACCTGCTGAATAAATCACTGACCTGTGTGAGAGGGCACGATGACCGTGTTAAAACCTCTGAGCTATGCAACTCCATGAAAATTAGATTGAAACAGAATAGCATTTCATAAATTAAGAAAAACATGATTTTGAACACCAAGTTAGTATGGCAGCACTCAGAAAAATACTAATAATTCAAAATTAGTTCACTGCTCCATGCCATCTCCAAAAGTGTCACACAAAAAGATGACAACAAATGTCCTGAAAGAGGACAGTGATAGTACCTTCCAAATGGCAAAGAGAGTGGCCACGATGTAGGAGGGCCACACTTGTCTGCACACCAGGAGACCTGAGTTCTCATAACCCTGCTTCCAAATCCAGTCACTAGATGATTACTTCTCTGGAGAGTAAGAACCCCTGTAATGCCAAAATGCTGGAACTTTGTGAATTTAAAGATTCTGGGAAGATGGTGGCGATGGCAGCAAAATTTCTGAATCTCTCCAAATCCCAACAAAGAAAGAGGGCAACTAGATCTCAAAACCAAAAATCCATAGGCAGCATATACTATAAAACTAAGTGACAAGATAGCTCTAAAAAACCTCAAGATACAAGCAGGTAAGGACAAACTACCAAGAGCCACAAGATCTGCATGCTCTCAGCATCCAGGCAGGAGAAAGAAAAGGGAAGCAACAGGGCAAGTGATGGATTCGACAACAAGAGACCCCAAAGGAGCCCATAGGTAGTCCCTGGAAAGAGAGTCTAGCCAATATGAGGACAGGAACTAAAACTGGGAGGGTTCTGCCCACTTCAATAATGGGTGGGTATGAGGGGTCCTCAGGAAGGGCTGGCCCTCCTGGTTTCGCTTCCAGCAGGGGATCCCACACCAGGGAGAAACTGCTAACAGAGGACTCAAAAACTGAGCAAGAGAAGAATAAGAATAGAGGAAGGGCAAAAAAAAGGTCCAGATAAAAACAGGGAAAGGGAATACAGGGCCAGGAAATCAGAAAGCAAGCCACCACCTTTTTTAACGCTGCATGAACACAGCAGAAGAGTGAGCTCTGTGGAGTAAGACAAGCTACCCTACACTAGGCCTTTCTCTCAAAGTTCAGGAAAACTAATTCCACATGAAAAATAGCAACGGCAAAGTATCAAGGTCAAATGCCACACAAAGGTATTATGAGAAAAAAGAAAGTAAGGAGTAAAATAACATTACAGATAACAAAAGCAAGCTGGAAAGACATGCTCATAGATCAGATCAAAATTTAACCTTTTCTTTCAACATGAGCTAAAAGATGTTAATAAAATGACACAAGCCATGAATGGACAAAATAAATCAGAAATGAAGTGACATGATTCAGGAAAGAATTTTTGAAAAAATCATTTCAGAAATAAAGACTATATTAGAACACAAGAATGAATAAACACAATAGATAATACCTTAAGAGAAACAACAGGCTAGAAAGAGAACAATTTCCTAATAAGAAATGAAAGAGATAAAAAGGGTTTGAAAGTCACAAAGGGGGGATGCCTGGGTGGCTCAGTCAGTTAAGCAGCTGCCTTCGGCTCAGGTCATGATCCCAGGGTCCTAGGATCGAGTCCTGAGTCAGACTCCTTGCTCAACAGGGATCCTGCTTCTCCCTCTCCCTCTGCCTGCCGCTCCCCCTACTTGTGCGCGCTCTCTCTGACAAATAAATAAATAAAATCTAAAAAAAAAAAAGGAAAGTCACAAAGAGTAAAGCTAGGCAGTAGAGCTTCAACACACAGCTAATAGTCTCAGAAGAAAAAAAATAAAGCAATTATTAAAACTTATAAAACTGAAAAAATTCCCTGGAATTAAAAATGCAATTTCTAGAACCAAATACTAAGAGCATATTGTGTACCTGAGAAGAACAACCCAGAATGACTAACACATCAACACATTCTAGTAAAATTACTGCGCTTTATAAAAAAAGGAGGGGAAAAAGCCTTTGGGCATCTAGGAAAAACAGGGACTTCTCAGGTAATGGCTGATTCCAGATCTGGGGCAGGAAATGTACAAGCTGGTCCTGGAACTTTTGTCATAGTAAATAGCAAGGAAGCTATCAAAGTCCACCAGGTCACATCAAAAGCACTCAGGAGCCAACTTGAAGAGGCTCCAACTAGCCAAAGATGGGACAATGTGAACTTTAAACAGGATAATAATTGCAACTGATTGAAACCCAACAGATATGTTAAGATTTGTGAATTCATACTAATATGTAAAAAACCTCGAATGAGTTGCCACTGAAGGATGATAAGGAACCAATTAATTATCCTGATGATAAGAAAAAGGCACTTATTCTGCCTTCCCTGTATGAACTGTATCATAGTTCATACTGAGTAGTCAAATAGTAGATGAAGGGAAGCATCTCTTCAAAAGGTATTCCAACTAATAAAAAATAAATCCTAGAATATCACCATTTGTAACCACCAGTGAACCAGCAGATCTATGCAATGAACATGAACAGCTGCTGCCATCATCAACAAAGACAGGATGTACCTTCTTAGGAAAAAATACAGCATCACCGCTAGTCTCAGCAAAGAGATCAAACACGAGTCTGATCAGGCCTCTGGATCCAGCTGCCATTTGGCAGGAAATACTTAGAGCTGAGGAACATATAAAACTTTACCATAAATATGAGATCAGCAAAACCTAGACCATGGGCACTTGATAGGTCAAATGACCTTGGTTTCTCAATGATCTATATTTTCAATCTAGTGGGCCCATACTTGGTAATACAGTGATTAATTTTATATGTGGACTTGACTAGATCATGAGGTGCCCAGGTTCTTGATCAAACATGATTGATGGGTCTGTGAGGGTATTTCCACGTGAGTTTAGCATTTGAATTGGTAGCCAGAAGCAGAACTGCCCTCCTCACTGCGGGTGGGCATCATCCAATCCTCAAGAGCCAGAACAAAAGGCTGGAGGAAGGGAGAACTCATACTTTCCCTGCCTGACTGGTTAAGCCAAGACAGCAGTCTTACCCTGCCTTTGGACTGGACCTAAACCATCAGCGCTCCTGGTTCTCAGGCCTTCGGACTTAGTTTAGGATTTCTATCACCAGCTTTCCTGGGTCACCAGCTTGCACGTGGCAGATTGTGGGACTTTTCAGTCCCCACAATCACATGAGTCAATTCCTTATATTAAATGGCATAGTGTGTGTATATATAGAGAGAGGGATATATTGATAACTACATTTGTATATTGATATCTATAGATCTCCTACTGATTGTTTCTCCAGAGAATCTGGATTAATACAGGTATCCCATAACTATTTGCAGCTTAGACTTTATTTGATTGATATACGTCTTTGAAATTCTATGAACAGCACTAGTCAATGGAATTTTACTTATAAACTAGTTATTAAAAACTGAAGAATTACTTCATAGGGTCATTTCATAAAAAATCCAAGATCATTTTTATATAAACACAGGAAGACCAATGACATGTTCCGATGTAGTAGCTGACTGCAGAATCTAACATGCCTAACTGCTTTTCTTAACTAGACTTCTTTCCCTTTCACTTGCATTTCCTCAGACATGATGAAGTTGCAGACACACTGCGAAGCACATGCTCAGGGCTGTTCTCCTGGTGGAAGGGATGGGCTGGTCTGTGCCTTTCTTACTGTGTCCGTGTCTGGTCCCTGAGCATCAGTGGCATAAAACTGTGGCATCTAGCCAGGTTAACAGCCTCAGAATAGCATTTTTCCCTCAACTAAGTTAACTAAACCTCCAAATAATTATACAGAGGACCCGGAATTCATTAGGAGTATTCTCCAATTAATTCCATCTAGGTTTTAAAATTTACATACAGCAACCCACAATGTTTTCTAACATCACAGAAAACAAATTTGAGTTTCATTTTTATTTCTTTTTGGAAAAGGTTTTTAAAACATGTTTTGGCTAAATTATGCCAACCTGAAGAAGACCTGGAATAAGAGACTATGGCTTCAGGCAAACTAAATATATTCCAATACACAGAATAGAATTAGTCACAGCTGCATCCAAAAGAATAAACACAAATGGCCAAGAAAGACAGCTGACCGGAACTTTATGTATGAGTTACCTCAGAAATGTTTTTGTCCGTTTCTTTCCTTTTTTCTTCCAATTTCCTTTCAATGCCTACAATTCCTACAGCCCTTATTCTTCCTGGCTGAAAAACAAAAGTAGAAAATAAAACATACAAAATAGGAAGGACACACTATTTTGCAACCCACCACAACATGTTTTCAATGGCGGGAAGGGACCCACAAAGAACCAAAGAAAACCAGCACATGATTACATCTAGTTTCCTTTCAAAACATGTGTCAGTTTCTTGTCATACATAATGATCTTCAAATCATTATTAAAAAAACTAAACATACAATAAGTGGCATATTTTACTCTGTATTTTAGATATAAATTAAATTCATGTTTGTTCTTTGGCAAGTTATATACGTATCAGGTATTTAATAGGGTCTCAAATATGCAAGAAATTATAGTTAAAATTTTGGTATTTGACTCTTAATATACAAACTACATTTTTCACACATTTGAGTATCTGTGCACGGTTGGTGGTTTAGACTGGCCTGAAAAACATCACCCAGAGGCATTGTCTGTTCTCTCAGATGCCACACTGATTATGAAGAACAGAATGTAGTGAACGGAATCTAACTTCGACCACCCCAAGAATCATTCTGTTAAGTAGTCATTTATTTTTGCTAAGTGTCTACTCTCTGCAGAGCACTAAATTAGGTTCTGTGAAAATAAATATTTAATCAGAATTATCATTATTTTGTTCTAGCAAGTTCTAGCAAAAAATACTGGATTCAGAAACAGTTTCAACAATACCTGGGGTCCTCTATTTGTTTGTAATGACTGGGAAACTGGCATATTCTCCCATCTTCTCTGTGTCATTTCCTCGGATAAACGCCTGTAAAACTGTTGTACATATACATACACTTTAAATGAGTCAGTCAGGTTATAGTATCCTCATACAAATCATTAATATTTCTTTAGTTGAAAGGCCTGTTCAGTCATTTGCAACAAGCCTAGAACTCTCAGAAACATCAAAAGAAACGAAAGGAAGTTCTTTTCTTGGATCAGCTTCATAAAGCACAAAGGAAAAGAAAAAAAAAAGAAAGAAACTGACCTTCTATATAAAGTGAGCTATTCTCAACAAAGAGATGAGTGACAATGAATAAATAGACCTACTTTAAACAATCTCGCATATGTGGATTGTTTTCAATCTATAGCGAAACAGATATAGTGCCAAGAAAAATATACAACCATTATCCATGAAGGAAGCAGAGAATAATTTGTCTAGTTAAAATGTGAAGCCAGAAATTAGGGCCAAAACATCCCTACACTCACAAAAAATCAACTATATTGTTTAACTACAGTGAGAATGATTTCAGTTAGTCGCTTATCTTTTCTTAGTGCCTACCATGTGAGGAGTGCTGAGTGAAGTGCCATAGAAAAAACACATAAATAATTTAGGGTATCAATGAGGAGATAAACACACACTTGTAAATGTCTGAAGAATACTTACACGGTGACTTACTACTCGGAACATGTAAACTCATACTATGGAGTAAGTAGTTGAGTGATGAGATTTGTGTGGAGTCAAGAAAGACTTCCTGACTTAAGACTGGTGAGCTATCAGATACTGAGATGGTTTAACATTTCACTGCATTAGACTCTGCCTCTTTAACCAAACCACTGAAAACTTTACTAGTAGCCTAATGGCATGACTTAGCATATTTACAGCTTCTGCTTTTTCCTTGGGACCACACCCTCCTGCTTCCCGTTCCCACCAAAGCCTAAACCTCGTATTTTCTACTGATAAGGCTTAAGATATAAAAATTTTATTGTAAAAATATGGTGAAACCTGGTATGTTGAACAATATCGATTTACATCATATTAACAACAACAAAAACCACACACAAGCACATGTTTCTAGTCCAATTTTATGCATATAAAAACCTACCTCAATCTGGCCATGTTCTTTGAAGGAGAGTTTGATGTAGGAGTTCTTACTACTCTGGAACGGACCGGGTTCTTTGTTGGGTGGAGCTGGGTGAAGATGAACCACTATTTTGGCACTAAAGAATAAATGTAATGAATTTAATTACCTTTTAAGAACGACTTATTCTATTTTCATAATTTTTAATGTATTTCAGTTCACTTTTAAAATTCATGTAGAAACAAAGGACATCCTGGAAGGAATCCTTTTAAACTTTGTATTAATTCAGTATTAATGAACCTTTCAAAGATACCTCCACTTACAGCTTATAAGCTCTGAACCAAGAAGTTCAAGTTACTGGCTCTATGGGTTAATTAAAAATGTGGTTTCAAAATAAGTTTGTGAAATTTGGGATAGCTCACTATTTTGGTTTATGATTAGGGTTTTCCATGTACAGAGTCATCCCCAGAGGTTACCAGGGGGCCTATAATTTCTGCCAAAGCATCCTACCCTACTCATTTGAAAACAAAATGTGAAAACTTATCTGTGTAAAACCGGCCAGCTGACACTTTATTACATCTCCATCCAAAACTAACACTCTACGGTATCATTTTTGGAAAATGCCGCTCAACCAACAGCATGCTCTAGAAGATAATCCAACAGCAAAAACAAATCTCAAAATGCCGCTGTGCTAGGAGCACAAACTACCATGATCTTTATGACTACCATTATCTTCTGTGCTACTAAAAATACCATTGTATTGGTTCAGCTTTATAAGCCTTTCCCCACAATCTGCTCAATAAACAATTTCCTTCCATAAATGAGCAGAACCAAAAAACGCAGTCAAAATACTTTGGATACGCAGCTTAGGGCTTTTTCTTTATGACCACATTAGATTTGCCTATTTATTATTCTATCTTGTTTAGGTCCATCTGATTGCCTAAATATCGCTACTAAATTGAAACACCATGTGTGGGGCCTCCTCAGTGTAGTAAACGCTTTGGTTAGTAAACTGGGGCCAGACTTGTAAGGACTCTTCCGAACCTACTCCTTTGTGGTGAACTTCTTTAAGTCAGGTGAGCAAATAAACTATGCAATCACAGTAACAGGACTGTCTGAAATGAGCTGTCAGGTAGAGCAACAAAATACGGCAATTAGGTTCAGGTGACTGAGCAAAGCATTACACAGTCTTTAAAACTGAAAAATCTGAGCCCCGTTATCAGATTTTGTCAAAGGAAACTCAATGAAGAATTAAAGATTACAAGACAAAATGAAGTTTAAAAATGTCAAAGTCAGCAAAAGAAATCTAGGCCAGTTTTTAAATATATTCATTTCGCAGGTCATTCAATTACCATATTTCAAGTTTAAAAACCACCCAATCAAAGACGCATCTTGGGATGAGACATGTTAAAAGGTGAAACTATATATACAATTTTGAATCAATGAAATATGGTAATTGCTTGGGGCGAGGGAGCTGAGAACTAAAGACAATATTTGAGAAATGTTAACCTGACGTATTATTAAATTCTTCCTCACTGGAGAAGTTTAAAAATAAGACACCAATGGGAAGGTAAATATTTTAAACAATTTTTGTTATACAGTTTAAATTTCCTTGGAACACAGCAGAGGAAAATTCAAATGATCTGCAACACCTTCAAGTTTTACTTTGTAGAACTTAAGAAAAGCAATATACACAAATATCGAATCATTATGTTGTGCACCTGGAACTCATACAATGTTATATGTAACTGTACCTTGATTAAAAAAAAAACTCAGTAAGATGGAAAAAAGTGACAAGGGGAAAAATAGAAATTAGAGAAGTAGCCTACTCTAAAATCTGTGCTTTTATTAATCTCTTTAAAATGTCAGTTTCTTTTATGTCAAATAAACAACCTTGTATCCTAGCTACAACTTTATAATTAAGGCATGCATTGCATTTCCAGTGAAGTTCAATATTTGTTTCACCTCTACTGAAGTAGCTATACTAAAGCTCAAAATGGGCCCACAAGGAAAAAAACATGCTTATCAGCAATACTTGTTCATAAGTTGCCCTCAATTACATGCACTTAAAGTAAAAGCCAGAATTTTCTGTACCTGATTAAAAAGAAACATTTTAACATGTGGCTTTAAACCAGGGTGATCACAAGTCCTGGTTTGCCTAAAACCATCCCATTTTATGCTTCCTTGGTCCAATTATAAATAGCACCCCCAGGGCGCCTGGGTGGCTCAACCAGTTAAGCATAAGACTCTTGGTTTCAGCTCAGGTCATGATCTCATGGGTGGTGGGATCAAGCTCCACATCTAAGCTCCTCATTGGGCTCCGTGCTCAGTGGGGAGTTGGCTTGAAAGATTCTCTCCCTCTGCCCCTCCCCCAACGTGCTCACTGCACATGCACGCTCTCTCTCTCAAATAAATAAATCTTTAAAAAAATAATGAAATAAAATAAATAGCACCCCCTATTACTTTTATAAATGTCCCAATTTGGGCAATAAATATTATGAAATATATTAAATATATGAATAAATATGAAATATTTAACACTGATATCCGAAAAGGTCAAAGTGAAGAAACTTAATGATCAACTAGAAATAGTAAATAGTCATTTTTCTCAAGTGAATCACTCCTGATTTTAAGTACTAGATACACAGACATGTCAAAGCGAATGTTTGTGGAAACGCATGCAGTGACAAGCTGGCCGACACTTACTTATTTTGACCCAAGAATATTATAGCAAACCTTAGGACTTGATTTGTGCTTTAGGAATGACTTCCATTTATCCATGAGATTAATGTAGGAAACATCTTCTTAGGGGGCTCCTGACCAACGACTATTCTTTATAAAGCCCCAAAACACAATCATTAGATTTATTCCCACATATGCAGTCATGGCACAACAATAAATCTACTAAGTTGATAGTAACAGCTTGACTGGAACATTTTTGTCAAAAAAGACTGCACTAGAGAGACCTCACCTTTTCCCAATTCCAGCTGCCTGTTCTTCAATGAACACAATCTGGGAAAGAGGAAAGGCCATGCAGCACTCCTAGAAGGAAATCAATACAAAACATGATTCATCAGATTCCTTGTCAGAAATCCTTGTTTTATAGTATTTAAGAGTGTCATGCACCTTTACTTAATAATAAAAACAATTTAAAAAATTGTAAAATGATTTTAATCCTTAAATAAACTGAAGGAGGGGCGCCTGGGTGGCTCAGTTGTTAAGCGTCTGCCTTCAGCTCAGGTCATGATCCGAGGGTCCTGGGATCGAGCCCCACATGGGGCTCCCTGCTCCGCGGGAAGCCTGCTTCTCCCTCTCTCACTGCCCCTGCTTGTGTTCCCTCTCTCACTGTCTCTCTCTCTGTCAAATAAATAAATAAAATCTTTAAAAAATAAATAAATAAATAAATAAACTGAAGGAAAAATGGGATGAAAACAGTACTGTGGTGGCATTTTGCCACATGGAAGAATGTAAGAGGTTTAAAAGCCGCTGTAACTACTTTTGTTTTTACAGTAGGTACATCTTTTTAAAAGCAGTATTTATATGAAAACTTTTTATATGTAAGACATCCTTATATGTAAAAAAAAACCAGAACAGGTAAATCAAAACAACTTTAAGGAGTGTGCTTATACAAGTGATCTTTTTTTTCTTTTTAGTTTTCTACACTTCACTCACCATTTTTAACAGAAAATACTGACGTAGGTTCCCTTTATTAGCACATTTAACTTTAAGTTATTATAAATGACTGGCATTTAATAGGTCTAAGGGTTTCTAAATTAGCCTCTTTATATGATAATCAAAAAATGATGCTAAGATTAATTTACAAACATATGTTTTAAGGACACCTATCCTTCCAAAAAAGACTTTTTCCTAAATATATACTTCTTTTAAAAGAATTAGACACCATTAACAGCTGTAAAGTATGCATTACCAATAAGGGAAATACCACCAATAAGGGAGCAAAGACTGATTCTTGGGGGCCAAAAAGAGTCAGATTTTACAATAGTTAGTGGCCTTTTAAAGGGCCTCAGTACAGTATATAGTTTGCCTGTAAAATTAAGATTTCATGGTAGAGGGGGCAGCAATTATGAAAATAACATAGAGTGGTTATTTTACTGGCAACACTGAAATTTATACACACATACATTTCAAGTTAAAGCTCTTTGGAATTAAAATAGCTTTATACACATAACTTGTTCTCTCTTCCTAGAAATAAAAAAACAGGGAGGTTTCTCCTCTTGCTGAGTGACTTAGAAGCCATTCTTCTCAATACCTAGGTAAAAGCATGTACTTCCTGGGAGACCTATCCTCCCAGAGTCTCAGGAACAGGTTGTTCTGAGGACCCCTGACAACGATTGGGAGAAATATTCCCATTACATACAGAACATTCAGGTATGCGGTAGGTTCTGACTGGTGTTTAAAAACAGAAGTGACCATGATGCTCTCTCTATTCAGCAACTACAGACTTCTCTGGAGCTGAATGAGGGACAACTCCTAACTCCTCTATCTGCACTCCATTCAGAGAAATCATATGGGACACACTCTTTTAACATTGTGAAAATGGAAATTTATTGCATTTTTTAGTTTTGATGGAAAAGAAAGGAAAGAAAAGGAAAGGAAAGGAAACGAGGAAGGGAGGGAAGGAGGAAGGAAAGAAAGAAAGAAAAAGAAAGAAACAAAGAAACAAAGAACAAAAAGAACAGAAAGAAAGAAAGAAAAAGAAAGAAAGAAAGAAACAGATTTCAGTAATTTAAAACCTAGAACATTTTTTCCTGTGTGTTAGCCATTTGTATATCTTCTTTGGAGAAGTGTCTGTTCATGTCTTCTGCCCATTTTTTGACTTATTTGTTTTTTGGGTGTTGAGTTTGAGAAGTTCTTTATAGATCTTGGATACCAGCCCTTTATCTGTAGTGTCATTGGAAAACAGTGTGGAGGTGCCTCAAAAATTAAAAATAGAGCTACCCTATGACCCAGCAATTGCACTTCTGGGTATTTACCCCAAAGACACAGATGTAGTGAAAAGAAGGGCCATATGCACCCAATGTTCATAGCAGCAATGTCCGCAATAACCAAACTGTGGAAAGAGCCGAGATGCCCTTCAACAGATGAATGGATAAAGAAGATGTGGTCCATATATACAATGGACTATTACTCAGCCATCAGAAAGGATGAATACTCAACTTTTACATCAACATGAATGGGACTGGAAGAGATTATGCTAAGTGAAATAAGTCAAGCAGAGCAAGTCAATTACCATATGGTTTCACTTATTTGTGGAACATAAGGAATAGCATGGAGGACATTAGGAGAAGGAAGGGAAAAATGAAGGGGGGGAATCGGAGGGAGAGATGAACCATGAGAGACTATGGACTCTGTGAAACATACTGAGGGTGTTAGAGGGGCGGGGGGTGGGGGGATGGGTTAGCCTGGTGATGGGTATTAAGGAGGGCACATACTGCATGGAGCACTGGGTGTTACACGAAAACAATGAAGCGTGGATCACTACATCAAAAACTAATGATGTATCGTAATGGTGACTAACATAACATAATAAAATAAAATTTAAAAAAATAAAATAAAAAATTAAAACCCAGAACAGATTTTTAAGAAACCCTTTATCTTACATGATTTTTCTGATCTCTCCAAATTAGTCGATGTGTACTAAGAAGGAGGGTCCCAGCATCAAATTTTATCTACAAAGACAAGATCGTCACAAAACATTAATGATGTATCACTCAATGTGGTCCAAATTTTCCTCCTCACAAATTACACAGTAGTAAATTAACCATATAAACATTAGAGAATTAGGCTTACCACAAATTAAAGAGAAGCAATACTACACACTTCATAAGCTATATATATGTGTGTATATGTATATATAAATAAAATTAGGAAAAAATGGCAAACAACCTAGATGTGTAACAGGCTAGTAGTTAAGTCAAGTATGATACATTCACACCTTGGAATCCATACAGAGGTTAAAAAGAATGAGGTAGAGCTGCATGGACTATTACAGAATTCTATGACAGAGTTAGTGGGGATAGAAAGCAACTTACAGCATATCACATATAATGTAATCAAATAGAAGAAAGAGATAATCTCCATATCCCCTAAACTACATTGTGAGATATATGCATGTGTATATATATACACATACACACATGAGTGGTAGGAAAAGATATAAATGGAATACTCACTCATCTGTTAACAATGATTATCTCCGAAAAAGTGTGAGGAAATGGGAAGAAGGAAAGCATAGGCACCCTTTTAAAACTATCCACTTCACTATTGATTGAATTTTTTTACCATAAGATTGAATTTGTGTATAGCACTCATATAATTTTTTAAAATAATTTTTAAATAATAAGAAAATAGACACAAACACATACAAAAATAAGTGTGGCTAGAGATTCAATCAATGGCACTAGGACAACTGGGTTGCCCAGTAGAGAATAATAATAATAATAGTAATAATGTTGGATTTATACCTAATATACTGCACCAAAATAAAGTCTAGATCAAATATTAGAGTCAAAAAATTATAAAAGTATAGAAAGAAATCATGAATTTTTTAAATAATCTAAGAGTAGAGAAGGTCTTTCAAGGAAAACACTAAGCCCATTAGCATTAGAGGCAAAGATTTATAAACTGAACTCCACACACATGCACACAAATCCCTCATGGCAAAAACCACGAAAAACAAAGATGGCAGACTGGGAAAAATAACTGTAACTCACATCAGAGACAAAGGGTTAATTTCCTTAAAATATACTCTTACAAATCAATTTAAAAAAAATAGCTTATAATCGATTAGAGAAATGGGCAAAGACTATTAACAGAAAGTTCACATGAAAGGAACTACAATGATTCTTAAACACATTAATAAATGCCCAACCTCACAGATAACAAGAAAATGGTAAATTAAGAGAACATGAGGACACCCCCTTCATCCAGGAGACGGGTAGAGGTCCTGAAAAGCTTGATAACACTGTGCCAGTGAAGTATTGGGGAAATAAGCATTTGCACACATTGCTGGAGGGACAACCTCCATGGAGGGCAATCTATTAATATCTATCAAAAATACAAACACACGGGTGCCTGGGTGGCTCAGTCGGTTAAGCGTCTGCCTTCGGCTCAGGTCATGATCCCAGGGTCCTGGGATCGAGTCCCACATCGGGCTCCCTGCTCTGCGTGGAGCCTGCTTCTCCCTCTCCCACTCCCCCTGCTTGTGTTCCCTCTCTCGCTGTGTCTCTCTCTGTCAAATAAATAAATAAAATCTTTAAAAAAAAAAAATACAAACACACATATCCTTTGATCCAGTGATTTCACTTTTAGGAATTTATCCTACAGATGAATTCGTACATGTGCATTATGATATACTATTAAGTTATTCATTGCTGTTTGTGAAAAGCAAAATATATTAAACAAGTTAAATGTCCATCGAGAAATGTACACTCACACAATGAACTGCTACTCAATCGTTAAAAAGAATGAGGAGACTCTTTATCTACATATTACATTTGAAAAAATCTAAGATGCTATTGATTATGAAATGCATCGATTCCAGTTGTTAAAATGTGTGTGGGGGGGGCGGGGAGGGAAATGGGCATTTAGAATTGATGAAATATGGTAAATTCTCCACACAGATTAAGTGAAAAAAAAAAAGCAAGATTCAGAACTTTGTATGCATAGTATATTACAAATTTACATTTTAAAAAAGGAAACACAATTTATACAAATACCTATCTATGATACATATGCACAGCTCTTCAGAATGATACACTGGTGGCCTCTGAGGGGGAACTGAGTGACAGAGACAAAGGTGAAAGGGAGACTTTTAACTTTATACTTTTTGTGATTTTTGTCATGGGATTGTGTCACCTACTCAAAATATAAATATAAAAAATGTTTTTAAAAACTATAATACAATCACACACACACAAAAAGATATGCCAGCTATATCTTTAGGACTGAATCCTTAATCCTCATCCTTTGCTATTATGCATTAAAAAGTATATAAATAAGCAAATTTTAGAGTTGGAATCCAAGAGATAATATATCAAATCCCTTCATTTCTATTAAAATTAAGAAATATATTGGAAGCCTCTATCAACTCTAATTACTAGGAAGTAGAATTTGTCATAAGGTAAGACTTGCTTGTATCCTTTTGAGGAGTAATTAGTTATTTTTAAAGTTATAAGGCTGGTCCCATTTTAAGGCCATCTTACAAGACAAACTCAGAGGGGGAAGGGAGGTGTGGGCAAAATGGGTGAAGGGGAGTGGGAGATACAGGCTTCCGGTTATGGAATGAATGTCATGGGAATAAAAGGAATATAATCAATGATATTGCATTGGGACAGATGGTGGCTACACTTGTGATAAACACAGCATAATGTATAAACCTGTCAAATCACTATGTATGTTGTACACCCCAAACTAATGTAACATTGTGTGTCAACTATATTCAAATAAAAAAAATTCTTTAATTAAAAAAAAAACTCAAAGGAAAGCATTTTCATAGGGTCCAGTTTATTACAAATAATCCTTCTGAATTTAAAAGAATGTGGTTAAAAATGTCTGTCAAGTGAATAACCAATCAGAACACTGTTATATATCATTAAGTAAAAATAATCATAAATTACATATGCAAATTGATATTTAATTTATTACAAGATACTCATGATATTATCAAAGAAAAAAGCAGATTTCAAAGTAGTATACATAGCATGATTACACACAAACACACACACACACAGCCACAAACAGAGAATGTGCCAAAACTAATTGCTTATGGGTAGTAGGATTACTGATTATTTCAAGTTTCTTCTTTTGGCTTACCCATATTTAACAACTTTATAATTTGTCTAATGAAAAAAATAAAAAATTTGTTACAGACATATTTAACTTCGTGTAGTCTGAAATGTGTATATTTTTTGTTAAATCAAACATACACAGAAACTTTTTCTATCAAAAAACTCCTTGTATAATAAATAACCAATCCCCTTTTTAATATGAATTTTTAAAAATTATTTTCTAAGAGTAAGATAACTGTATTACTAATATGTAGTCATTATCAATATGGTTAAAAGCTTTAATGGTAAGAGACCTACTGAGCCATCTAGTTTAAATACACTCTGAGAGATCATTCCACAAAAGTACTTCAACCCCTCAGAGAAAAGACTTGATGAGTTCCATGTTTTCTACTGAATCAGGAGTAAAACATACATACTCCTGGCACTTAATTCAGTCTGGCTTCAAATGTTTAGGCAAAACCAAACAATTAAGTTTAAGAGATTTTAAAAACCTCTTTTTTGTGAATGAGTAAGATTTCCCTTTTCCAAAAACAAGTATTTTATCAACTTGAGAGTACACGACGCTACATTACAGCCTCACAGTTCTGATTAAGAAAATGCTCTTTCTCTTACTGAAATTCAAGCATTAAAGATGTGAATTTAAAAGCTGAAGGCAGGGTATATTCCATTGCTACGTCAATTAACAATGTGCAAACGTAAAATGCAGCCGCTCTAAGAGAAGAAGTTGTGTAATACTTCCCTTCAGGGATTCCAAGGGATTATGAGCTAAACCTGATAGACAAGTTTAGGCTGGTTTGCTCCTGCCACTCAGAGCTAGAATAATTTTAACTACTTAAAGGTTGATGAAACTTAGGCATTTGCTGGATAAGCTCTTACCCTGTCTTTTTTTTATTATACAACATTTTTCTGTTATAAAACAGCAGTTATACACTGCTGAAAATCTAGAAAAAAAATTTAAGTCTAAAAAAGAAAATGAAGTTACACATAATCATACCAGCCAGAGTGTATAAGTGTATACACAAGTGTATGTGTATATATATGTGTGTGTGTGTGCATGTGTGAATAATCTTTAAATAAAATAAAATGAAGCCATTATATTTATAGTTTTATAACTTGCTTTTTTCAACTGGTGGCCTATCATTAGCAATTCCTCACGTGATTAAGTCTTGTCCTATTTAATTAACAAAAAGCTATGGTGGACATTCAGATTGCTTCCAATTTTCCCTATCTGTGATAATATAGAATACATATAACAATGCTGAGATGAGCATCCTCATTCATTATATTTTTATGCATCTCTGATTATTTCCCAGGGATAAATTCCTAAAAGTGAAACACCTAGCTGAAAGAAAATAAACGTTTTCCAAGTTTCCCAGTAAATGCTGCCAACTTGCCACTTTATACACTACTAACCTGCTTTCATTATATTTTTAAATTAGCTGAGGCTTTAGAAGCTTCTGTGAATTTAAACAAATGACCTGTCTACGCTGCTTAGGAAACAACATACTATCCAGTCATAATGGGCCCATGAAAACTATGCCTGTAGAAACAAGCAGGGACACATTTATTCACAAGAGACACTTGGGTGCTTGGGCGGTGGGAAAAGCAATCTACTGTGGCTCCACCAAATATTAAGTGTGCGACCTCAGACAGGTCACAGTTTCCTCAACTATCAGCTAAGAGCCTCTGTGTCTTCATCTTTGGGAGTATCCACTATATTAAACATTACATAAAGAATCTGGCACTGGTGACTTGCTATATTCGTGAAGCACTGCAGCCCAGCGAACAAAGTGCAGGCTTTGGGAGTCTGATCAATAGAGATTTAACTCCTGTCTCTCCCGCTAACTCTCTGCGGGCAAGTCACTTTCTAAGAGTTATTTTCCCATCCATAAAATACTTACCTCATATGCCCACGGAGAGGATTAAGTGAGACTGTGTGTAAAGCTCCTGGCACATAGTAGGTGCTCTAATTATTCAGGTCTTTTTTTTTTTTTCCATGTATTTCACATCCACGATGAGCCAAAAGATTCAAGGATGAGTAAGGCACATTTTCTGCCCTCCAGGAGTGACCACCCGATCTAGTAGACAGCCATGTGCACGCTTGCCTCAGGAATGTGTTGGGATGCAAAGCTATGAAGGCTAAGTAGACTTGGACTGGAGTGCCCTAGACCAAGGAAGCCAGTGAAAGATAGTGAAAGGAGACTTGACCAGATCTGGAGGCTGATATGGAGCTTCCTAGAGTCTTCAGACTATGTGAGGTCTGGAAGCCTTCCAGCAGATGGAGGAAGCCAGGACGTGGGACTTTCCCCCAGGAATCAGTCTAGCCCTCAGCCACAGAGCTGAGCCACACAACTAGCCAGTGACTCAATAGATGCAGCTCAGGGACCGCAGCGGTGAGCAGGCTTGTCTTAGAACTCTGCTTCAATTTCAGGACACCTACATCCGTCCCTCACTACCCTCAGCTTTTAGAACAGTTAAGAATTCCTCAGTAGATTAAAGGGTCTTAACTAAATTTTTCCCAAAACTTTTTTATTAATCCTCTGATAACTCTATCTGCTTGTCCGCTAAAAGAAGCAAAACACTTAAAAGGAAACACTATAATACACTGGTCTAGCAATGGTTTTTCATATACAGGTACTCATGGTTTTGTCTTTTTATTGTCTTAAGTAAATCGTAGTTATTTTATGTGCCAGCCAAGATGTTCCTAATTTGTATACTGGAGTTACACAGAACAACAGAGTGTGGTGCCCTGCAAAAGTGCGACTTCCTGCAGGGACTGTCTTTAGTGGAGTCTCTGAACACCAATCTATGATTGTCAGCATTCCGTTCTGAGAGGGAGGCATAATCAAACCGGCTGAGGGAGGGGAATTTGATTATGCTCCCCATTTAAAATAGTTCCAAAGGTTGTAATCTTGGTGCAAAAAACATTTAGCTTGTCACTCCACCCAAAAGATGCAAACCCAATTTGAGATCAAGTTAATAAAAGTGCTAAGGCAGGAAATCAAGTAAATCCAAGCAAATTATTTTAAGGAAAAGACCTTAACTTGATAATGGAGGCAACACAGTACACGGAAAATACCCTCAGGGAGGCAGAACACCCGGGTTCTATGCCATGTCAACTGTGTCCCCTAGATAGCTGGGTAACCCCTGCCCTCCATGACCTAGGAGGAAGGAAGTCTCAAGCTTCTGCAGGCACCGACCAGGAAAAGCTATGGGTCAAGGAGCAAACGCAAAAGTACAGAAGGAAGTTACATTAACAAAACCACAAAAAAGAAGAGACAGCAAGTGAAACTTCTGGAAAATAAAGATGCTGGTGAATAAACAGGTTTTTAACATTTTTCTGATTCCAGCTTATACATTTCATCCAGAAGAAGTTAGTAGTTTTGCAACAGCCCTCCAACCGGTCTCACGGGCTAACCTGCCTCAAGCTTATGCACTCCTTGCTGGCTGACCGAAGTCCCTCGGTGTGCAGGAGAGCTAACCTACTTCCCTCGAGACTTGCAGACCACTGGCCTTGAGGAGTGAAGGACCAGACTTTCCCAGAAGATAAGGCCTGACTGCCCTGGAAAACAGCCGCGGCTGATGCCAGCAAGTCTGTTCGGGGTCATGTCCACCTCGGACTAACCGCCAGGGCACCCGCTTCTCAAGCACCGAGAACCACCCCCGCCCCGCCGCCGTCCCCTTTGAGCCCTTCCGGCTTCGCCTGGACGGGGAGGATGGTCCTTGGAACGTCAGGCCACCGTCTTCCCAGGCCGCCCGCTTCCTGAATAAAGCAGCCTTTCCTTCCCCCCCAGCACTCGTCGCTGGAGTACGGATCTTCCCGCGGGGCGCAGCCCCAGCCGAGGCGGAACCGGCCCTCCCCGCGGTAACAGTTGGACGAAGTCTGCACCGAACGCTCACACTGGGAACACTTATCTCCATTCCCAAGCGCATCTCCTAAGGTTTAGGCCTGGATGACAAGGCCCTGCCTACCACATCACTTTACAAAACAAACGCTCCAGGCTCCTTTCCAAAAAAAGCGGGGGGGGGGGGGCGGGGGGCGGGGAAGAGCCTTGAGAAAGGCGTCCCGGTGAGACCCGGACACCCTTCTCGGAACCCCCTGCAGGGCACTCCGGCCCCCTCGGTGGGACAGACCCCACGCGCTCCGGCCGCACCCCGGTCACGGAGGCACCCCGGGTCAGGGGGCCGGGCAAACGCGCCGCCCGCCCGCCGCGGCCCGCCGTCACCACGCCAGATCCGGGACCGGAGGCGCAGGCACCCGGCCACACGTCGACCGTCCCCGCCGCTCCCCGAGCGCGGCCGCCCGAGCGCCCGGGCGGGGAGGCCCCGCATGCCGGCCAGCCGGCGCGCCGTCCCGGAGGCCGCGCCTACCTTCTCCTCGCCGTCGTAGATGCGCACGCCGCGCTGCTGGATCACCAGGGTCTCGTTGATCTCCAGGAGGCCGCTGGTCCACAGGAAGCGGTCCATGGCCGCCGCCAGGCCGGCCTCCGCCGCTCGCCCGCGCCGGCGCTCGGGGGCGGCGAGCTGAGCGCCGGGCAGCCTGCGGCGCCCCCTGGCGGCGGGCGGGGCGGAGGCCGGGCGGGGAGGGCGCCCGGGACCTTGGGGTCGTGCGTGGGGCGCCCCCTGGCTGTCGGTCCGCCTGTGGCCCGGCGGGAACGTCCACCCCATCCTTCGTCCGCTCGCGCGCAGACCCGGGGCTTCCCGGGGACTTTGAGGAAGGTCAGACCACAGCCTGGACTTCCTTATTGTGCATTATTCCTGCATATTTGTGCCGTTTCCTTGTCAGTGCCCAGCGTGTTGCCACTTTCATAAAAGGTTGTAGATAATTATACTGTAACTTTTCTTTTCAAATAAAGATTTATGGCCTGAACTGTTTTTTAGACAGCCACGATCAGTATGAAAGTACTATTTTGTGCCCCTCTTTCTTCCCCATTAAGATCACTTTCATTTAAACATTTTCTATGTCAACACGAACCTCGTGCATTTACTCTAGACCGTATTTTAATATATGGATATTCCGTAATTTACCTGTGTGTTGGTCCCCACAAACCGGTCCATGGTTGCCGATCGAACCTGCTGGGCTTCTATAGCTGCCCCTTTCATTTTATTTACACCTTTACATTATAAATGGAGCACCTATATTTGTACTTCTACAACTGATACATTTTGGGGGCTTTAGGATTATTTTCTTAAGAGTGCCTTCCCAAAATAGAATTACTGCTTTAAAGAGTTTGCAGACATTTTAGACAGCTTGCTACACACTGGGAACTTATTTAACAAGGATGCACCTGCAAATTGGTCTTTTTCCCAGGCCAAGTAGTTCTGTCTACATTAGACATTATCAGTTTTGTTATATTTGCTGCTTGACAGTGATTTTATTCTTTTTTTAATTTGTTTACTGATGAGGCTATTTCTCAATACCTTTTAATCAAAAGAAAAACGTTTTTTTAAATAGGCTCCGTACCCAACGCGGGGCTTGAACTCACAACCCTGAGATTAAGAGTCACGTGCTCCAGCGACAGAGGTGCCCCAGTCAAAAGAAAATCTTGCCGGGAGTAATGGGTAACACCATGTGGAGTTGGACAGCCTCCACCTAAAAGGATAGGGTTATTAATTTAGACCAAATTAACAAGGTCAGGAGAAGAAGAGGCGCAGAAAATGAGAGAGCGAAGGAGCCGCTAGTAAGTTAGGACAACCAGGAGAGGGTGGTGTCCTGGAAGCCAAGTAAAGACGGTATATCAGGGAGAAGGAAAGAGCCTTTGTACAATTTTGCTGACGGGTCAAGTCCATGGGACTGAGGATTGCTCAGTGGAGTTACTGGCGTCCTTGACAAGAGTGAGTGCAATGGGGGGCGGGGAGGGGGCAGAAGAACAAGTCTTTATGGAGCGGTTTCAAAAAAGAATTTAAAAAAGAAAGAGAGGAGAGGAATTGTAGGTAGGGAACATAGACAACTCCTTGAGGACTTTGCTGCAAAGGAGAGCAAAGAAATGGGTTGGTAACAGGAAGGGGAAGTGAGGTGGAGAGGGAGTTTGGATTGTTTGCTCATTTGTTTTCCAGGTGGAAAAAAAGAATAGTATTTTTGAGTGCTGATAGCCATGAGAGAGAGGGGAGACCTGCTTGAGTGACATCCTTGAGAAGATAAGAGAGAATGCACAAGAGAGGGTCAGAGATGTTGCTATTATCAGAAGAGAGCAGGGTAGTGAGGCAGATAGATTTTTGTGGTGGGAATCTGCAACAATTCTCTGGACTGGTTTGGTTTCTCAGAGAAGGAGCAAGACGAAGAGGGGAGAGAGGTGTGAGGAGGTATGAACGCACTAGGGAAGGATACTATGATTGCCTGGCCCACGCACGTGAAGTTTCCTAACATGCAATTAAAGTAAAGCCAGAGAAGCAATACTCCAGCCCCACTCAGGGGCAAAACCGAGTGGGAGAGTAGGAAAGATATGGATTTAATTAGGTATGTGATTTTGCCAAGCCATGGATTGAAAGACGCAACGGAAGGGTAAGCCCAGCGCTAGACTACTTCAGCCTTTGTAAGTGATCTGTTCTGTCTGTCTGGAACCTGGAAGATTTTCTCATTATCCTTGAGGTTCAGAAATTACACCAGGTCAAAGATTCTGGGTCTGTATCCCTCCTCATTTTCCTGCCTGTGAGATGGTGCTTTTCAATTTGAAGACTCAAGTTTCTGTCTTCTTCAGAAAGGTGTTCCTCTATTATTTATTTGATTATTACTTCTGGTCTATATGTTCTTTTTTTTGCCCCTTTGGGACCTTTGATTATTTGTGTATTTTAAACCTGTCATAACTGTCTCCCATGACTGCTACCTTTTCCCTCATCATATTCATTTCTGGAGGCTGAACTTGTGTTTTTACCAGTGACCATTCACTTCTCTAATTCTTCTGTTGAATTTTTAAACTGGGAATTTTTTAAGTTCTAGAATATTTTTTAGTTCCAGAAACACCTGAGTGACTGTTCCAATTACATCTACATAGAGTTCTCATTGCATTTTTAATAAAGTTTTCTTCTATGACATCCCTGAGTTCACACTCTGCAGTGGCATCCTATTCTAATTCATCTTGTTCCTTCTCCTTTACGCCAGTGTTTCCTTAAGTGTCTTATAATCACTTTATATGTGAGATCTCGGAGTGCCTATGCAAGGGAGCCTATTAAGATCTCACATGACAAGGACTGACAGGTGGTTTTTCCCAGGGGACCATAGGCAAGTAGGTCAGTAAGTTGAGAACATCTCTTCTGAGTCACTCCAAGACAGGTCTCTTGGTTCTCAGCCTACTCACTCATTCAACAATTATTCAAAAAACACTTATTGAATACTGCTATGTGTCAGGCACTGTTCAACTCCTCTCCCATGCTGCTGGCAAGAGAAACTGCTTGTTCCTCCCAAGCTGGGCAGGATTGGCACTCAGGCAAGGGGAGGGAAGCAATCCTCTCAGGAGCAAAACTTAAGGGGGTGTCAAAAAATTCAGTGATCCATATGAATGATATGTTAAAGCAATATCTTTGGGGGGGGTTGTTCTTTTTTCTTAATTGACTATAATCCCCATTCTGTACCTTATATTCCCATGACTTACTCATTCCATAACTAGAGGTCTGTATCTCCCATTCTCCTTCACCCATTTTGCCCATCTCCCCCCATCCCTTACCCCTCTGGCAACCATCAGCTTGTTCTCTGTATTTATGCATCTCTTTCTGCTTTTTGCTTTTTCATTTGTTTTGTTTTTTAGATTCCACATATGAGTGAAATCATATGGTACTTGTCTTTCTCTGTATCTCACTTAGCATAATACATTCTATGACCATCCATGTTGTCACAAATGGCAAGAT